GTATGACTCATTCAGTTAACATATTTGCATGCTTCTTGAAGTGCATTTCACAGAGTGAATGCTTGCTTGTGGAACCGCCCCCCTTATTACCATAAGGAAGCAGCCCTTCATTGTACATGATTTTTGACACCTGCATCTCAAAAATTATTTTTGTATATACCGACATTATTTATAGAAACCATTTAAAAATAGTCTTCACACCCAAAAATTAATTATCAAAATCTCCCGTCACGCTTTATACAAGCCATCTTCTCAAAACAAATTCTACGGGCTCACAATTAACCCGGAGAGGAGCGCTACTACATGACTTTCTTTCCGCGTATCGTTTGTTTTGGCGGAAGAAACACAAAAAAGTAGCGCACGCCATTGATGCGCAATTGATGTGCCACTCATCCGTGACAGGGAATAGGTTGGAATTAGCAATTGCGGAAGCTCATCCGTGAGCCAGAAAAAAAATGGCCTCTGCCACACAATCCGATCGGAGAAAACTAATGACATGGAAGAAGAAAGGTTCGGATTCCGTATTGATTTCTTCCGTCAAAAGAAAATTTTTGTTAGAGGAGTTTGTTAAGGGATTAGCGTAGGAGGAAAAGTGTCGGGCCTTATCTTGTCAGCTGTGTAGCTAATAAGGGATTTTTGCCTGTGCCAGTATTGTTTCACAATTAGCGTCTGGATGATTTGAAACTGAATTCGAGGAAGAATGGGTTTCCTTATTAGATACGATACAACACACTTTCCCTTGTTAATAATAAGAATGCTTGTTTCTATTCTTAGAATCAATATTATTGATATAAACCAAATGTATTACAGAAACCAGATTTCAATTGTCAGTGCTTGGGTTTGGCTGAGAGACAATTTTCAATATTTCGAGCCTGGATAAAGACAAAGATCGCAGTGAAATAGTTTAATTTAAATATAAATAGAATCATGCACGCAGAAAATGATTGTAATCCCCCACCAACACCAAGTGACCAATTAGTTTGGTCTGATAATTTTTAAGCTCTAAGCAATGAGATTATAAATTAATAAATCTTACCTTTTGATATTTAACTCATTATATGACGATACTTTATAATTTCACTTTGTCAAAAAAAATTATTAGCATGATAACATGAAAACAATATGAAAGGAAACACTTCTTTGAAATTTTTTTAACTCGAATTAAAATAAATGTATTCCGATTAAAAATTAATTGACTAGAAAATTATTTTTATTGAATTAGTAACTTTTATATCAGTTAATTCTACGTTAAGGACAAGAATGAAAGCTAAAAGTTCTACTGGTTAGGTAGAAATAAATAAGTAAAAATAACAAGCGTCCCAAAAATGAGAACATTGAAATTAATGGGAAAATTTAAATTAATGCACAAAATCTTTTTCCTTTGTATTTCAATAAAACGTACAAATGGATCCGAGTTTGGCGCTTTGAAGCTGAACACAAGTAATGCAAAAAGAGGATCCAGCCGCTTAACCCATTGCGATACGATTTTATTTAAACTCTTAATTAGATGCCACAACGCATTTGGATATTTTTTATTATTTCAATCTATTTAAGATTGTAAAGGATACTTGAGACATTTAAGCGTGTCCAGGTGATTTTTATATTTAAAGTTAATTGTTATGTTGATTTAATTACGGATTTAAATAGCAAAAATTCTATAATTCGAAGCACGTGTCAGAGACGTCTTTATATGTTAAGGGGTTAAAGCCTAGAGCGTTTGAAACCTCTAAAAACGTTTAATTTCTGAAAATTCTGGCAATTATTACAGACTGATTTCTTTTTAATAAATTAACACTTCTGAGAAATAATAGAGTATAAAGCTAAATCTACCGAATTTACGTCCCAGATGAGCCCAAAACCAAAAGGGGCACTTACGAATAAACTTGTCAACTTTAAAACGATCAATCCTCTATCAAGTCATTTGAATGCCTGAATTGATCTAGGGGCACTCAACTTAATACATGTAAAAATATATATATACCACCTTGAAGATTTAGTGGAGACTAGTATGGAATCCCCTATCTAGACTTCGCGATGAACTGGTTAAGGTCATCAGAGTATGAACTGAATGATTTCGACAACTTCTAAATTGATATAATTTTTGGTGAATATGTGTGAACCTTTACATATAGGATGTTTTTGATTTTAACTGACACTACTCAGAGCCATCTGTAGCTCAATATATCATCTGAAATGCCACCAAATTTGGTAGGGGGACTAAAGACGACATGGGGAAAAAGATTCCGTGATAAAAAAAAAAATAATAGTTAGGAAGTTACCGCTAGGGAGAAATGTGGCGCTGTTGAAGTCTACACAACTGAGAATTAGACAAATGAATAACAAAGAAATTTCAGTGCAAAACCGCTTTAATACAGCAAATAAACTTCCCCAAAGAGTTACAGAGATGAAATTACAGCGCTAAATAGTTCTTCATTCAATAAACGTACTCCCTCGGTGGCGGCATGCGATGACCCTTCAATATGATTCAATGTGACCACCCTTCTCGCGGACCACACATTGCATCCTGTACAAAACATTCTTCATGTCCATTCCCCCCGGATCTAACCCCATGCGACTTTTTCTGGTGGGGTTATTTGAAGTCCAAGGTCTATCTTGGTGGGGTCCCTACGTCGTCCCCCCGTAAGATGTTGTTCTTTAAAGAACAACACATTACGGGCTGTACCGAGCATTCCTGGCGACATGTTACTTTCGGCCGTCGAGAATGTTGTGTACAGAATGCAATGTGTGGTCCACGAGAAAGGTGGTCACATTGAATTATATTGAAGTGTCGTCGCATGCCGTCGCCGAGGGAGTAATTTTATTGAATGAAGAACTATGTTGCACTGTAATTTCATCTCTGTAACCCTTTGGGGCAGTTTGTTTGCTGTATTAAAGCGGTTTTGCACTGAAATTTCTTCTTTGTTATTCATTTGTCTAATTCTCAGTTGTGTAGACTACAACAGCGCCACATTGCGCCCTAGCGACTTACGGAACTATTACTATTATTTTTTTTTTATCACGGAATCTTCTTCCCCGTGTCTTCTTTAGTTTCTCTACCAAATTTGGTGGCATTTCAGCTGATAGATCGAGCTATAGATGCCTTCGAGTAGTGTCAGTTATAAAAAACACTCTTTATACACGCAATGAAATAAAATACTAAACAGCAAATTTTAAAAAAGGCGAAAGTGTTTTCTTCTTACTTGCAGCAATTAGCCTCAAGGTGATTTTATTTTTATCATGCTAATTAAATTGCTGAAATCGAGTTGTTTAACTAAGCACTCATTGTGTTAAAGTTTTTCAAGTCTTTTAATGTCCAGGTCAAACTATTACATCGACTTTAGGGACTTTAGAACTATGTTTATGAGTGTAATTCGGATAATATTTAAGCTATTAAATTAATATGAAAATCAAAATTATTAAGTACCCAAAAAAACGGATATATAAAATACATTGTATTATTTTACAGAATTCCACACTTTTAAAAATAATTAGTTGAATCGTAAAGTGATACTGTCTTTCACGACTGAACGCAATTATGCAGAGGAGAGCCAGCTACCATCTAATAAATTTCGAGTTTGCTTTGGCATATTGTACTTCAATGCATGTAATTTGCATGCGAAACTGAATCAACTCTAATTCTTTGACAAAAGACTACTTTTGACGCGGTAAATTTCGATAATACAACATTAGATCTTTTCTGTAATGTTTTGTGAAAGCAGTTATATCTGAATATGTGTGCGTTTTGGAGATGACCCTCTTTGTATAAATGCGCCCAACTGAAAATAAAAAATATTACCAGTTTATTATTTTATAATAGCCGCAAGGAAATAAAGGATTTCATTCTAAAGGATTTAACAACGCATAGAAGTTGATATTCAACTTCTATTACGTGAACACACCTGCTTTAAATTAAAATACAGAACAGTAATTATTCCCCATCTTCTCAACAGAACCAGCTTAGACTCGGAGAGCTACACCCGAAAGGGCATGGTAGTCATTCCACCAGTTGGTGCAAGTTAGTCCACAGATTACACCATAACAAAGGAATAATTCAGCTTGATTTTAGTTTACAGATGCACCGACTCATTTTGTTCCGACTTGATGAGTTTCGTGAAAAGTAAGGCACTTCGAAGAGCAACAATGGATGAGCAAGTGTGTTAAAAAGAATTATTCTTCGTAGGAAACGAAACACTTATTGTAGATGATAGTTTTAATATGTAATAGCAGAAACAATCTATTTTGTTGCGAACAAAAGATGATAAAGTGAAAAGTTAATTTCTTGTTAAGATCTGAGTGCAATTGTATATACTTTTGTTCACTCTCTAAATGGAACATCCTTTATACTCATTTACTTAACATGTATTTAATCACGGTCATAATGGCAGTTTTTCCAGTCATAAGGTTAAAATTTTAATCAGTGCAATATCGAAAATATTAAATGAAAGCAAAAGAGGTAACTGGAGATCGCAGACTTGTACCGAAAAAGAAAGATTAAAAAATATATACAATATGTACTGGGGACTAGTTCAGGTATAATTAAGTAGGGAATATGCGAACAACTTTTAATAATTCCGATCTAAATCGAGTGTAGTATTACGTTAATATTTTTATCCAGTATCATGATAAATTATTATTTTATTAATAATATTTAAAATTATGTAAAAACTCTTTACAATACTGGTACTCTCAAAACATTTATTTATCACGGCGTGCCTTATTTGTACTAAACATTTTAGCATTTTTGTCGTTTTACTGAATATTTAACTATTTTCACATGAAAAAGTGCCAAAATGGCTTGGTTTTAGTTATATTAACGTCCCGTTCTGAAGCAACACGAGGACTCTTTTGGGACAGCCCTCGTAATTTTGAACCTCGGTCAGATGACGAGGACGACACCTGAGCTGGCACCCCCTCCAAACTTCCGCGCCACACCAACGGGAGGAAGTTTGGCCACTACGTATGATTTAGCGTGCAACAGGCCCAATACACGACGGATCTTTAGTGGAACAAGGTTTCGAACCTGGAACCCTCGGACCCCAAAGCCGAGACCTTACCACTAGGCCTCCGCGGCCTCCCCAAAATGACTTGAATTTCGATAGACGTAATCAATTATGCATTGCTTTGATTCTTCTCTAGCTTTTCAAGAATAATAGTTTTCATTGGAAGATAAATTTTGCGTGTAGGAAGTCAGAATGAACGGCTGTATTTTGTTGAAATTTTTTCAGAATTCCGATTGTAAAAAAAAAACTAATTTTTATGATTTTGATGAAATAGTACAAAAAAATCTCTTCATAACACACTCACAAAGACCTTTAACCTAAATGTTTGTTCTCATTCACACGCGCATAAATCTATAATTTCAAAGTTGGTTCTCATTTACTGACTATCAGAATGAACGCCAAGTGTTAATGAAATAAAGGACAGCCATTTCCTAATTAAAGGGAAAAAAAATGATTATCCAAACTGGTTTCAAGACAAGCCATGAATGAATCTGAAATTTTCTTTTATTACAACACACGATTTCAGTGGCCAACATTGCCCTAGGGTATAACTCAATTGGGATTTTGTTATCGCCACCAATTAGCTGGTTGAAGAAAAAAAGAGTCTTCCTGCAACACACCTTATCATTTCTAAATTTGATGACCTCTCCAAGAGTCCGGTCAGAGGAAAAATCATTCGACGCAGCATCTGGGTCAAACTATTACTCGACTCTTTTTCCCCTTATGAGAAAATGCCAAAAGCAATCGAATATCCGATTAAATTTGTCTTCAGAGATAACATCCATTGTTCGAGAAGGTGTTGACATTGGATTCTTGTTGAAGTGTGTTTGCATAATATAATTTTCCCTCAGGAAAACAAGCTGCTCATCGATTCACTTGTTTTTTGCTTCTTCTATTAGGCCATTTCCATGAACTTTTCGAAAATGATATCTATGAACTTTTGCAAAAGGATGCGAAACAGTAGAACTTGAGTAATTCGAATTGTTCCTCTCTTTCCCTGGATTTCCAATTAACAAAATCTTAAAAATATCACCTACAATTAAAATTTATTTAGGTTATTTCGAAGTCAAAAGTAATAAATCGCAAAGAATATATTTTATTTCCGAATTGTTCGGTTAGTTACATATCGTGGATGTACAGGGAAAATAAGCCATCAGTCCACACAGGTTGTTTTTGAGAAATATCGATTTTAATTTTCAATAAGGCAGGAAAAATTTGGACTTGAGTTGAAACAACAGCCTGATTTTTGGCATTTCGGACTTGAGGGTTTTCTATATGAAAGAAACAGCAGTTTTCAACTTGGTGGTCATAAAACGTAAATTTTAACAAAAATGGACTTAGCTGATTTTTCTTGTACGTCCATGGTATGTCTGTACCTTGTATCCACCGTGTCTGTTTTATTTTAAGTGGGGATGTATTCAATTACAAAAATAATAAAAATTTACCACTTTTTAAACCCCTTTGAACACATTAGGTGTGAATTGTACAGTTTATTTTCGAGTTTTAATGTATATTTAAAGTGCTGTATAGTGTTTCTTTATTAAAATTATGTACTCATTTATTAAAATTTCCCAAATTATAATTAGTATTACTTTATCTATTAAATTTTTTTAAAAATTTTACAGCCATTTTAGTTTAAAAATTATAGCTTATTCTTGATGAATTTAATTTTGAATCCAATTTTTATCAATTCGAATTTTTGGATAAATCTAACTTTTATTATGGTTGAACCAGCTTCAAATTAACAAAGTTCCAATGTATAAATCAGTAAATGACATTCTCAAGCACTGCTTAACTTGCAACACTTTAATAAATGAATTGTGCAAGTGGAATTTCACAGTATTTTAAATGATTGAAGACACATTAAAAATTTAGCTTATTTAAAAGTTCTTCCCTACTTGGGGGGGGGGGTTACCACGAGTAAGTGGATAAGAAGCCACCGGAGAAATAAGCGGGGTCTCGCTCCCGGCGTGGGATACATAAATGGTGGTGTAGATCTTCGAACCCAACTCCTATGACGAGTCTTACCCCTATAAAGAGGGAGATGCTATTACATGAACTGCGTGCGGCCAGAGTGCCAGTATTATTTGTTGCTGTGAACGGTCTTCCAGCAGCACTAGGGTTTCCTAAAGCCCTGAATACGTCTCTTAAGTAGCGACACGTTCAATCGTCCGCCATTTTGGGGGATAACGACCATTCTCTCCTTGAGTCTGCTATTGAGAAATACGGAGTTTCGTTTATTGAATGTGGACTTTTATTAACAAATGTTTACAGATTCCCAAATATAACTTAAATACCTAATGATCTACATATAAAAAATCATTTTACCTTAAATAATAATTTATTTTTTATATTAAAACACATACTATACTAAATGCGTGTTTTGAAATAATTCGCGATCATTTTGAAGAATAATTATATTCAATTTTTTTTTGCTAAGACTTTCTAAGTTATAAATTACTCCAAACCAGGGTTGATAAAATCATGATTTTTTTAAAAATAAAATTAATTAGAGAATCTTTCAGTAATACATATTTAGATGGTTTTCTGGATTTTTGTGGAAGTAGATGGCTGAAAACTGAAGGAACAGCAGTCTGCTTCAGAAGGCGTCTTTTATCAGCTCTATGATTTTCAAATTGATCCTCCGTAAAATGTACCTATTTAAAAAAATTTATAATTTTGCATTAGAAATAAATTTAAAAAATAATAAATATCAAGAAGTTTAAAAAACAACCAAATATTTTAAATTTGCATATAACGATGAATACTATTAATACTATTTATAGCTCAAATTTTTCCTCACTCCAATTCTTAAAATTCTATTTAAATGAGCCTATTTCTTTTATATATGCCTATATATAGGATAAAAAAATTATTTCAAGTACATTTAAAGTATTTCATTTTTGCTAGCTATTTCTTATAGAAATTGAGTAATTTTTTTTTTTTTTTTTTGCATTTATGGATGAAAAAATTATTTTTAATAACTTAAAAATTTATTTAACAATATACATAATTTAAGTCAAAACCATAACACGCATTAAGCACCTTAATTATTAAATAAAATAAAAGACAGATTCATTAATTAAGAAAACAAAAATTAGCAATTTTTGTTCTCTTTTAATGACCTTTCATCAATTAACATACGGGTAAATAATTTAATAGGCGAGCATATCAAATGCAGTTTAATTTGTTAGAATTTCCTTTGACAAAAAGATACTTGCATTACATTACTAATAAAAATATCATTAAAAATCTTGAATAAAAAAGTGTATAAATAATTAATTGAATTCGAACTTACCTCACACAATTTGCTATTTTCATTTGGAATCCATTTATCTCTCCCGATCCTATGCAGCCACTGTTTTCTTCTCTCTGCATTACGCTTACCTACAGGTAAACGATATAATTTGAAGCCCGATTTCACGCTGTTCGAACATCCAACAGCACAGCAAGTGGGCATCTTCAAATTTTAAATTATCTATTAAACGATATAAATATAAAAGCGAAAATGTGTAAAACAGATAGAGCGTATAATGCTAAAAGCGCGATACACACATTCAAGCAAAGACCCAACATGGCGGCTGTTTACCCATGTGACTGGCAACTTCCAATCAAAATCGAAAGCGGCACGAAGTCTATGGGGAAAAGAGTGTCGCTACTTAAGAGACGTATTCAGGGCTTTAGGGTTTCCATACGCCCCGTATATACGGGACTGTCACCGTATTTCACTATTCAGTCCCGTATTACTATTTGTCCCGTTTTCTCCCTAAGCTCTGTGTGGGACACCGGACGAATGAAACAGGTTATCAGTGGAGACAACTGAAGCAATTCTGATTTGTCATTATAATCTTAAAATGACTTTCAGCCACTTTTATAATTATGTGATAGAAGAAAATGATATAATTAAGAAAGTAAAATCAACTTTAAAATATAACTGGGCTAAAAAGAATTAGCCTCGCATCTTTTTTATTATTCTACGTGTTCATTTTATTAGATTGCTTAAACTTTATTGTTTCATTAGGGTAAAATATAAACCATTACCTACCCGCTTTTTTCAATTTCATGTCTTTTTGTATGTTTTATTTATTTAGCACTTAATCGTCCCGTATAAATACTTGGCATTTATGGCATCCCTAAGTATTACCCGAATGCCTAGAATGGGCAGGGATTTCGTTTTGCTTTATTTGAAACTTTTTTTGAGTGAGTGATTGTAGTTTTATGGCACAAGGGCCAGAATTGGCCAAGCTGCGCCAAACATTTAAAAAATGTCGATTAAAAACATTAAAACATTAAACTTTAAAAAAATTGATTAAACATTTAACTTGACCAGACCTTCAAAAGTTGGAGGTCTGGTCAAGTTCCATGCTTTAATAAGAGTTTTAAGATTTGCTCTGTAGTTTCCAATCTATCATTTCAACTTCTTTCTGAAACATAAACGATAGTAAAAACATTTCTGTTTCACAAACTGTTATCAAAGAAGAAAATTTCAGATTGTATTTAATATACGATACTCATTAATTTACCATGCGTTGAAAAGTGAATGAGAACTCGTTAGAAAAAAATGCACAAAGAAAACTTCCATTGTTCAGCCATTTTCAACACGTTTATGAATAAAGAAATTTTAGTTACTACACCCCGCCTAGATAAGTTTAAAAAGCCATTCATGCATTTCAATGCTTTTTCGTTTGTGTTTGATCTCTTTTTTTTGAGGGGGGGGGGTCTGAATAATACTTTCTAAAAGGAAAGTAATAGTTTAAAATATTCGTGTTTTGTGATTTCTAGTCATTAAGTTTTTAATTCTTTTTCTATTAACTTTAAAAAAATTTTAAGCTGACATTTGTAAACAGACATGTAGAATATTTTCAAAATAGAATGTTTCATAAATGGGCTAACTCAGGGTAGCCAGATCAAAATAGCAAAATAAGGCCAAAAAGACCAAATTTGACAAATTGATTGAAAACGTCATTTGCTATTAGAAAAACAGCTATCATTCATGAAAACGAATCCCACTTGATAGGCATATGTTAAATGCTCTAACATTAAACTAAAATTTAAGTGAAAGAAATTT